TACATATTTTTAATAAATCACATAGGGTTTGGGAAATACATCAGTGAGCGAAAAATTAGACAGTCTGTGCTTATGAAAATCAGTCAGTCTAAGGAGTCAACAGTTACATAAAAGGTAATACAGAGATTCTTGGGTCTGGACTGGCTATGAGCAAGTCTAGAGATGAGGAGGAGATACTTGTTGCCTAAGTGGATATATATGTATGCAACTGCTCAAAAAGAAAATAATTTTGCATGAAAACCAGGTTTTGTGGGGGAAGATGTTTAGATTTGTTTTGTTTTGTTTTGAAATGTTGAATTTTAAGTGTCTTTGAAACTTCAAAATATTCAAAGGGAGTTATGAAGTAGTAAATTGGACTAGTCAAAGCTAGAGAAAAATACTTGAATGTTTTTGTAGATTGCTGAAATTAAAGTCCTAGGAATGAACTAGCCTCATAAAATACTATTCACAGAGAAGTGAGATTGGAGTTCTAGACATTTACAAACCTGTAGACTTAAAAATAGTCCAAAAAAGGAAATGAGTGATTCTAATTTTCTCCAGAACTTTATTTAAAAATTATACATAATTAGAATTCTATTATTCATAATTAGGTTGACCCTCAAAACCTCCTAACAAGACAATGTTATGAAACTCAAACCATAAGTCAGAGATTTTTCTATATTACATTACATAGTATATTACATACATAAAAACTTCATACACATAATTTTTAATGTATGCACTTTATAGTATTCTGAAGGAACACCGTAAAATAAAGTTGTACTTGCTTAAAATATGGAATCTATCAAAATCAAGCTTAAACATTAATAGGTGAAGAGTCTCTTTCAGTCTTTATCTCATTACCATCAGGACTATAAAGGATTCTGTTCTGTAATTCAAAATTTTTCATAGATTTTTAGCATCTTGATATATATACCTCAGAATTGGTCAGTTATCTCCAGGGGAAACCAACCATGTGTCTTAAGAGTCTTAAATTTCAGCCACAGTGGGCTAGCCATCTCTAACTGGTGAAAGTTCCTTGGAATCTTTCACCTACACCCACATCTACCTCAGCATATCCTGTATTCTTGCCTGTGCTCAGAAACAAAGTACACTCCAGGAAAAAGCAACTGCAGATATTAAACTTTCCCCTTTAGGGCCTCCCCTAGTGGCACAGCGGTTGAGTGCTGAGCTGCGAAGCTGCCCTCAGCCTGTGCAATGCCGGTTCGAGGGTCCCACATGCCGCACAGACCTCTCTTGCCCCCCACCCGCTGCTCCCCTCAGCAGTGTATTTCATTGTTCTGCCTATTCTGTTCCCCACTCTAGCTCTGGTGAATTCTCTCACCCTCCCATGCTTCTGATTGTACCCAGTGCTTGTATAAATAAATAAATTTTAAAAATAAATACATAAATAAACTTTCCCCTTTACTTTTCCAAAATCCTAGCCTGTCTGGCATTCCCTGCCTCTGTAGCTCTCTGATACACTTAAGTACTTCTTTGTTTAATTTGCCTTTATGGTTTGTATCCACGTGACACTCAGTTGTAAACAACCCCATTCTAATCAGAAGCCGAAATGCTTATTACCTCATTTTAAGATTTGCTTTGCTTATTTCTATACACAATTTTTTTTATAGCAAAAATGGTTGGTTTTAAATCTTGGAATCACCCATTAGTATAAAAGTGGCCAAGAAAAAAAGTATTTAATCTCAGATAAATTTCAGTCTCTAATTGTGTAAGCATAAAAAAAAAATCTGCTGGGCCTCCCTAGAGGCGCAAGGGGTTAAGACGCAACCTATGAAGCTGTCCACAGCCACTGCAGCAGGAGTTCAAACCGTGGCCAGGGAGCAGCCCATATGGCACAGCAGACCTCTCTTGACTCACCCACTGCTCTCCTCAGCAGTGTACTTCAGTCAATCTGCCTGTTCTGTTCCCTACTCTGTCTCTGGTTAATCCTCTCACCTCCACCCCCCACTCGCCCCACATACACCTCTGGCCTGTACTCCAGCTCTTTATGCATAAATAAATAAGTCTTAAAAAAATAAATCTGATTATTAAGCTTGTTATGAAGATTGATTAATACACAGAAAGAGCTAGAAATATAATACCTGGCTTATAATAACATACCTATTATTGTCATTATTGCCTTTATTATTCTTGTTTTACAAGAAGTTAGCATTTATCCATTATTTCTTTAGGGTAATAAAATTCAGAACTTTAGTTCAATTCTACAGACACTTATTAAGCAGGTGTCATTTGCAAAGCTTAACGTGAGGGCTATGCACTGTGGTGATCAAAATAGTAGCAAATATTATTTTAGGTAATATCTTCGTTAGCAATATACTATGTTAAGACATTAATTTCTAGAGGAAAAGTAAAAACAAAGTTAAGCTTAGAGGCAGAGCAGAGAAAGCCACCCCTCATCCCAGATACTAGATTAACATATTGACAGCTCAGAAAATAAGTACAAATAGTTCTACCTGCTTAAGCCACTGAATGTACTCCCCCTAATAAGTTCCACTTGTGTAGAATAGAAGTTCTAATTACTAAAATGCTGCCCCTAAGCACAAACTAGGTTCCTGAAATATCTTTGGAATTGGCTCATTGACTAACTGAATGTGCTGCTAAGAACCGATAGAGAAGCTGCTAGGAAAGAACTTGGCAGTAAAGCAAATTACATTTAAAAAAAGTTTCAGAAGTGTTTATTGAGTTCCAATCTGTTTTAAGAGTCTCTTTCTTAATTGTCTTCATCTAACTGCAAGTCTCATTAAAATACATGAGAATATTCAACATTTTTTAAAGCCATGATTTTTCTATCCTTCTTTGTATTCTCACAGAATTTATATTCTGGATGAATTTAGCTAGTGTCTGTTTAAATTGGGTTGAATATATTTAGACTAATGTTTGTGATCAATTCAGTGATTTTCTTCTGCTGCTGAACCATGGGCATGAAGAATTTTTTGGTTGCTTCTAAGTAACAGAAGATGAGGAAAAGAAGGGTAATAAAAGAGTTTGTTGAAATAAGTTGAACCATAAATCGGTGTTATACCTTTAAAATATTCTCAAGTCATTATATTCAAAAATATGTTTAGAGCACCTAAGCTGTGCCAGGAATGTTGGAAAAGAAAAGAAAGAATAACTAAATGAGTTTTTATTTATGATTTTTTTTAGGCTACTAGAACCATTTTTCACAAACGCACATGTAAATCAAAAGGTGTTAACAATTTTAATGTTGTAAATGAATATATTTTAATATAGCCAATATATCCCTGTTAACTTAATATAAAGCTTATTTTATATTAATATAAAATAGGAATTTGATAATAAAACTACCTTCACAGTGAAATATTGAAATTGCCAATGAGAGAACAGGTCTTTTTAATTCATGAAATGTTTTAAATTATTAGCAAATACATTTTAAAGATACAATAAAGATTATTCTGAAATACATATTTTTAAGCAAGCATCAGTATATTTTACAATAAAAATAGAAAAAATTAAAAAACTAATTTTTCTTCACAAAGTAATTTCAACTAGGCACAATAGTTATAACATGCCATGCACAGTAATGTGCCAGTATTTGAGAACATTGCCAAATATTTGCACCATAACTCCAGAATCCTAGATTACTACCTTTCCACCAATACCAATTTTGATATTGAAAGTATGAAAGAAATGGATAAAGTGGTTTTTTTGTGACTAGGATATCATTGAAGAAATCTTGCTTTAACACCTTTTTCCATTCCACTTATTGAGTACTATCTACCCTTCAAAGACTGTGAGGATGTTAAGCTACTCACACACTTAAATGAAACCAATGTAGATTAAACATACAGTGTGCTGAAACGCCCACTCCTGTAAAAGAAAGTAAAGAAGGCAAATAGGCTGTGGAACTACTTGAATCTGGAGTCTTTAGGGTGCTACTTTATTATCAATTGAGTTGAATCACTCCCAGAATTTGTAGCACACAGTTGCATATGACTAGTTCCCATGGAAGACCTTTAAGTCCCATGTGACTCAGTGGTCTTGTCTTGAGTCCTTCAGGTTGCCTGGAAGGGTGAAGGCACTTTACCAGTAAAAAATTTAAATGTGAACTCTTAGAGCTGGAGGAAAGTGCCAGAAATGATCACTAGAAGAAAATAAAAGCATTCCAAGGTTAAATAAATTTCAGGAAAAAAGGGGCCTAGTGTGGACCTTCTGAGGATCACTAAAAATATTCCATAAGAAAATCATCTTGAAACATTGATTAGCTACACAGAATAAAACCCCATCTTAAAATGTTACCAATTTAAATAAGATTATTCCAGTTATATTGGAAAATTTAGAGACGACAGCAACTGCACATACCCTTTTCCTAGGGTCAGTTTACAGACAAAAACTAGTCCAAGCTACACAAAGATAATATATTTAACTTTATAGGAAGCTAAAATTTTGATTTGGTATTTTAACTTGAATGTTTTTATTCCTGACTAAAGATTGCATTGTCTAAAAAACGTAAAATATTTATTTATGGATGACAGCAAAGTGAAGAGTCAGATGATGACTGAGTACATTTCTTGAGTTTTCCAAGGAGACTGGAAAGGCTGAGGGACTAGATTACAGACTCATTAAACCATTCCCCTGTAGTATTTCATCTATTGTCAAGCTGACAGTTGCAGGGATCAACTTTGACTTGTGTAGACCTATAACTTAATATTCCCCCACCCTAAACCCCTGTCACAGGGTTAAGGAATGGACAAGTGATCTGAGCTTAAGATAATCAATACAGGAAATTCCCCAAACCCAAGAGATTTGCTGAAGAGTGGTCCATCATCCAATTTTCAGGGCAGCTGTTAATGGCAGTAGATGAAAAATATTTTCTTTCTCCCTGGATTGCCTTTAAAAGGAATCTACTTCCAATATTGGACAGTCACGCTGGGATCATATTAACTCAGTCACATTGGGATCATAGTAACTGGGGAAACCAAATAATACGTAGAACACTCCAAAGAATTCCTAAGAGAATTATAGAAAATCAGAGACACAGACTGACCTGGACTACTTTAAATAGTGTTTCTTATGGTAAGATGTAATTCCTCCATATTATTGTGGTTGGCTGTATGATCTCCTTTAGAACATGCTAAATCATGCAATGAAATTTAACTATATATTTCATAATAAAGAAATAATTTGAAATGATATTTTAAAAACTCAGGAAGATTCAAATCTTGATCAAAAAATTCCAATGTGATTTTTTTTTTCATACTACCAATCACATCTGTGAGACTAGCTATATGTCTACTCAATGTGACACAGTCTTCATAGCATCAGGTAGCACATGTTAAGGATTCAATTCTAGAAGGCTGTTCCCCTTGCCCCTTCAGTTGCAAATTGAAAATCTACATTGTCTCCTGTACTTTTTTTATGCATACAAGATGTTTTTTATGCATACAAGAACTGGGGTACAGGCCAGAGGTGTGATGGGTGAGGGGATTCACCAGAGACAGAGTACAGAACAGAATAGGCAGATAGACTGAAATACACCTCTGAGGAGATCAGTGAGTGAGTCAGGAGAGGTCTGCTGTGCCATGTGGGTAGCTCCCTGACTGGGGATTGAACTCGTGCTGCAGTGGCTGCATATTACCAATTTATAGGAAATTTATAAGATAATTGGTAATTTATAAATTACCAATTTATAAGAAAAGATTGAGGAACAACCAGATCAAAGAGAGGCATAGGACAAGATATGAACAAAGGGCAAGGAGTTTCCATGCCTTCTTCAAGTATTCAACTCAGCTAGATCTCCAACTGTTCACCAAATTGCAAGTTCTCCAAATCATGGTTTTTCGACTCTATAGAGACTGGATTACAGGGTTGTGATTGATTAAATCATTGGCTACTGGCAAAGCCTCCCTTGGACTCAGGAGACTTTTCCAAAGAGTGCACAGAAGATATTACCCTCCCAAGTTGCAGAGATACAAAACAAAAGTCTTAATAATCCCTTTGAGATTTGGTAATAATTTGCAGGACCAGAGACACAAATGAGAGACAAGCCACATTTTTTTTCTAACTACATCTTGGAACACCCAAGCTGATAGTTGTCAGGCTAATTTCTCAGGTTTTGAAACAAGATGACCACAACTGTGCTTTGGAAAAGAAAGGATCAACAGTGGGTGTAGACTCCCAAGAGTCAACTGGGGAGAAAAAAACAGTGGGATATTTGATTTTCCTCTTTTGACCAAGTACTACACAAATCCACAAGAAGTGATGCTGGGGAGAACTCTCATACTTTACTGGTTTCTTGCAAGTCTTCCCAGGATCTTATTTGCAGACACTGGATATGGAAAGTATAAAGTAGAGAGTATAAAACTGATATCCATTAGTTGTTTTTTCCTTAATGTGCTTAATTATTTATTTTATTTTTAACAATTTATTTATTTATGCATACAAGAACTGGGGTATAAGCCAGAGGTGGGAGGTGATAGGATTCACCAGAGAGAGTGGGGAGCAGAACAGGGAGATCTACTGAAATACTCCACTGAGGAGATGTAAACATGGAGATGTTCAAGTTGTAAATATGTAGGAGTGTTTGTTGATATGGAAGTATTTGACAAAAACCTTCTCAGACAATATTTTCCAGTGTTCTGTAAATGAGATTCAGATTTCTGAAACAGAATTTTATGATGGATCCCTCAGTGAATAAAGTGGGGGAAACCCAGATATAGTTTTAGGTTTTTGGCATTTTGAATCTCCTGTCAGTACAGACTGACCTGTTAACCCTGTACTGAAAAGTCAATTAGATTAGGAGTTCCATGGAAAGAGCAGAGTTTGAACCACAGAAGAAATTACCAAGAGCCCTTGGAAATGGTGAGAGACAGAGAATAGAATGTGCTCAGCAGGTACCAGTGTCTGTGTTTCTCCTTGTCTCTGAAGCTGTCAGAAGTCTCCTATAGATCCCATCACTTTTGCCAAAACTGTTAAACAAAATTCAACTAAATAAATTGTAAAGTTCTTGTTGGCTTTATTCAATAATTCATGAATTGGACAACATCCAATCTAACAGATAGAAAAGATCTCCAAGGAGCTGTACAAAAAGGCAGAAATTGAGCAGGCACAAGGCAGTTATAGTGACAAAAAAGGCAGAATGTTTACTGTAAGGTTCCTTTGCTTTAGGGGATGTTAAGGGGCTATCAGGCAGATTACCTAACTAATGATAATCAGGTGATTCCTGAATGATTTTCGTTCCCATTTCTGAGAGTGAAAACTGTAATTAATTATCTTAGTTTGATGAAACTGGAATTAGCATAAACCTTTCCATTTTAGACTTGTCTTTTTTTTTTTTTTATATATCTACTTCCATCCTCTTAACTCTCATGGATGTCCTAGCTGTTCCAAGTCTCAGACCTTTGAACTTATTTTTTCTGTACCTAAAATTTTCTTCACTTATATACCTGAGTGGCTTATCCTCTCCCTCTTTCTGATATTTAACAAAATGTTACTTGCTCAATGATATATTTCCTGACTATTCTATTTACTTTTTCAAATTCGAATACTTCTTTCTATTCAACTCCCCAACAACCTCCTTCCAAAGCCCCTCTATTTTCTTTCTTTTTAACATATACCACCATTTCCCATACCATTATATTAACTATTTAGTTTTTGTCTAATTTTCCCACTAACTGAAAGCCCTTAATAAGAGTGCTTTTGTTTTTCTTGTTCTTTTTTTTTTTTTCCTTTTCATTTTTGTACCTCCATTGCCTAGAAAATTGTTTGGTATATAGCTCTTTTGTACTGGCTGGTTGAATTAATTCTTTATCTTCAACCAAAGAATTTTGAACTGTGATGGGAATATGTTCCTTTAAATCTTATTTAAAGCATGTATTTGATTTTAGAGTGTTTATATTTTTCTAGCTTGTAGATTCAATAAGAAATTGAATTTACACAGTTCTTAAATTTACATACAAAGAATACTTAGTTAACTCTATCAGTGAAAAGGTTATAATGTCAAATCAGCTTACTATACATTTAGACATACTTAATATATCTTGTTTGATACTCTTGAAACCAAAATTATAAAATAAAAGGAAAAATCACATGAATTAAAAATGTATAATTGTTCATTTTTCCTACATCACTAAAAATTTTACTTTTTTTCTAGAGTATATAACACTGACTAAAATGTCAGCTAAATTAATAATCAATTGTTTGTAAATAATGATGTGTTGGTTGATTTATATCATCACATTCTTAAAATTGGCCATCAATTGATTTTAGTGTGGATGACCACACTAGTGATTAGTTTTATGCAGTGATTTCACAGGTCTCCCTTGGTAATTTAAAGGGACTTTCCACAGAGACAAAACCTAAATTTTATATTCAATATTAAAATATTTTAATATAGTTATGTCCATAGTTGCATTGAGACTAGATTAGTTTAGGTAAGACAAGTTTAGTTAAGGTAGTTCTATAATATGTTTAAGGAGTTACTTAAATAAGTTTATACATTTTAAGATATTTTCTCTGGCTAAAATTAGTTTAAAAAAGTATACTTCCAAACATTGTGAAATTTGCATTATGAGTCATTAAAAAGAAAGTTACGATATCATTATGTAATGCTGCTAAACTTTTAAAAACAGAATTGCCATGTTCTTTATAACAAATTAATTTAAAAAGACACATAAAGGATATACTTGCAACTTGGCACCTTAGAGTACCTCTCCCAATCCAAATACTGCTTCCCAAATAGTTCCACACACATTTAAAAATTCATAAAGATTTTAAAACTCAGCCGGTGGTCCCTGCATCTCCCAATGGTTTTATTCCTCATATATTAAAATTGTAGGCAAGGTAATGCACACAGAGAAAATAAGATATAAATACATGTTAAGAACTCACAATATGTCAGATACAGTGCTAAGTTTTGTATGCATTATCAGTTCTAATATTAACAAAGACAGAATATTTATTCTACTTATACAGATGACGACTGTTCTGCAGTCTCTCACCTAACTACAGGTCACTAGGAGGGTGTTTCAATTACTGATTAGGTTATTGCTTTCAGTGTTAACTGCCATAAAGAGTAGTAACAGTAAAAGTGATTCAGAGCCAGGTACCAGCAATATTGTGTGCACACTTTATGCTATTTATCCCAGTAATCTCAAAAGTTAAGTATTATGGTCCTAATTTTATACAGTAAAGTATGTAAATTTCTCAAAGTCACAAAGATACGATATGGAAATGTGAGATTTCCTTTCATATCTTTCAAGCAAAAAACAACCACGATGAGTGGATCTATGTGACTTAGAAGCACTGGAGCTTAATGGCTAACTCAGGAGATTACAACTAGATGGACCTGGAAAGTGTAGGAGAAAAACAATCCAGGTTTATTACCACTGTGTGATCATAGGAATGCCACATTCTTCATGTTTAATTCATATGAAATAAAGAATGTTTAAAACATTCTTTAATAGATTGTTGTGTGGTTTTGATGCCATAATTTCAGGTTTTCAGGTCTAGTCTCCCAGCAGGGATGGATCCCAGGCTGTGGCAGCAGCGCTGAGTCCCAGCCACTAGACCACCACTGGTTGGTATCTCACAAAGCCACAGCAGGAGCTTCGCTGACACTCAGGCAAGCAAGCGAAAAAGAGGCAGATTTGTTTAGAGAAAGTAAAAGTGTATTAAGGAGAAAAGGAACAGAAATAAAGTGGGACCCCCAGGCTGGTGGATCCAGGCCAAGGAGGGGCAAGGAAGCCGAATGGGCCTGTATCAAGGGGATATTTAAACCTTTTATCTCTGTTCTAAAATCTCTCATCTTCTTTGTGATTGGCTCTCTCTCTGTGGTTTTACTTCCCTGGGCAGCTGTGTCCAGCTTTACAGCTCTTATCTTAGTCTTTCTTTCACTGCTTCTGTCCTAGTTCTCTTAAAATTTACACTCTTTATTAGCCTTAAAATTTACGGCCCTGACTAGCCCTCCTGGATTTCTCTGTCCTTATCTCAGAAGCTTTTTTAACTCTCCCAAAGTTCCTGCCTGTATTGTCCCTGATGCTGCCCAGTTAAGTTTAAGGAAGAAATTTGCCCTAGGA